GGGGATTCCGGTTGTGTTCATGAAGTTGCCCTGGAGACGGGCACGCACACAAACAACAACAACAAAGATGTTCCAATAGGGCGCTGAGAATGCGTAAATCCTTCCTTGCCGAGGCACACGCGTAGCAGAGTTAAATAAATACTACGTAGAGATGGCACTTCACCCAGCTCTGCTGGTGCTGAGACAGAAACCTGCTTCCCTCCCCCCCACTGGTTTCCTAACGCCTAAGAGCTGCCACTGGGCAAACCACCGGAGTCAAAGCAGCGACCCGGCGTGCGGGGGAGAGAATCTGGAGAGCAGAAAGCTGAGAACTCTGCAGCACGTCCCGTCGCAGCCGCTGACGGGCAGGAGGTCCCTGGTGCCCGGGGCTGGGACTGAGCAGCGGCCCCGGTGCGGGCACGGCCTCGCTGGCCTGAAAAGCGACCGACGAGGGGAGAGGGAGGGAAGGGGAGATGAAACAAGGCTGCCCTGGGGTTCTAATCCGATCCAAACCCATTGAAAAGCCGTATCGAAGCTGCATGCGGTGCTGGAGAACGTGCCAGGGCAGCCGGGTGTGGCTTTTCCAGGTGCTCCCCCCGGCCAGAGAGGGTATTTTATTGCAATAAAGAAATGGTTTGTTTTTATGTTGGTTTTTGTTTTTTTTTCCTCAAAGACGGCCACAATTAAGAAAAAAAAGTTAAATTAGAAATGCTTGGGGTTTACACCTGCTGTCATGTTTAGTTAAACATCTAATCATTCTTAGATAATACATTTTAATACAATAACATTCAGGCTCATGTTGTTCTGGGTTCATTTGTTGTTGTTTGTGTTTTGTTGGGTTGTGTGGGTTTTTTTGCCAACCTCCAGAACGACTTCAAAATGCAAAGAAGAGGAGAAGGAAACGCAAAATGGAAGTGCCCCGCAGATAAAAACTCCCTCCCCGGTCCCCTCGGTGAAGTGTGTGGGGTGGGAGGGTTGAAAAAGCTGCGGTTTGAAACCAGAGATTCAGATGATGAATTTTTTTTAATAGGTCTTGTGACTGGAAGCTGAAAAGCCTGGGTGTTGAACAGCGCATTTCTCTAGAAATACCAGAGCGGTCATTCCAACATTTGAACTGCTCTGTCACGGCCCTTTTCCATGGCTAATTCAGGCATCTGCACGAAGAAGGGAAAGGGTTTGGATTTGCAACTAAATGGCTCCTCAGATAAGGGGTAATATATTCAGAGAGGCAAGAGCAGCCTCGGCGTTGGGTCAGGAGGAACAGCAGGAGAGAAAAAAGAAATACTATGAAATAACGCTGCAGATGTCTCAATCGGGTATTTTCTTCTGAAGAATAGGAAATTTGGCACGTTTTGTGCGTTTGATGGCTGCTGAAGGGCCTCGGAAATGTTCAGCTCAGTAATCGCTTTTCTCCTCC